GGGCTCGGGGCTTGGGGTTCAGGGTTTAAGGCCACCTGATTCCCCAACCGTTTGCTCTGCAACCCCGAATCCGAAACGCGGCACCCAACACTCATGCATCTCGTGCATGCGCGGTAGCTTCCAAAATCCTGAAGCGTGATCTTCATTCAGTGATCCGACAAGATCGTGCATACGGTAGCCGCAATACTATACGGAGCCCATGCCAGGCGCGATCTCATCGCATGGGCCAATAGCTCGCTTCCCGATTCGACGCTGCTCCTAGCGGTGCCTCTGCCAAGGGATCGGGCCCGGGTTCGATATACGGCTGACGGTTTAGGGCTTATAGGGTTCATAGGGCTTAGGGTTTAGGTTGAGGGCTTGCGCAGTTCTATTGCTTGCACTTGGATTATCTCTGTCTATCTATCTATCTATCTATCCATCCATCTATCTATCTATCTATCCATCTATCTATCTATCTATCCACCTATCTAGCTATCTAGCGCTCTAGCCATCTGCCGATCTGTCCGGCCCTTTTCTGTCTGTCTCTCTGTCTGTCTGCCTCGCTGTTCGTTTTTTCTTTCTACCTGCGCATGCTTACCTACCTACGTACATTCATACATACGTACATTCCTACATACGTACAAACATACATACACAGATGCACAACTCTACATAGAGACAGCGAGAGAGGAGTTCCCAGCATGAATGTGGCTACGACTTTAGCACCGGCCCAAGTTTCAAGTTACATGATAGGTTCACCCCGATATCGCTTGGGATTCTACAGTCTGGTTACGTAGCGCACCGGTGAAACGATGACAGGGCACGCTCATGCTTCGCTAGAGTCTTTCCAGCAGCCTTTGTCACGCAAGGTTTATGCTTGGATGATGGCATGTTTGTTCAGTCAGAGTCTGGGACGCATATTGTATACACGTTTTCGATGCGGCTAATGAAACAAGGCGAGTGCATCGGAAGGTTCGAGCTTGTTCGCAAGAAAAGCATTATCCCCGACCCAACTTTTGCAGGGGTGGTGGGTAGGTCAAGCTTCAAGATATGAAGTTTCAAAACTTAAGATTGCGAGTGGTGCTATTCAGCGTTTAGCTAAACTACCAATTTTGCTGAGTTTACCCTATCTGGGACCTTATTTTCTACAAATTTGCATTTTGCTTTAATAAATAATAAAACCCAGGAAGGATTAAACATACGTACTTTTTTAAATGCAGCCCCAACAGGGAACCAGTTATGGTAATACAGGGGCCTTAACAATTACCTATATTATTTTGGGGGTTCCTTCATATGTTTACATTATAAAGGACCCCAAAACCCTATTCTAATTATCAAGGCCGCTATATTACTCGTAAGCTACCGGTTCGAGTTCACAGGACATGACGCTCGCCGCAAAGCTACGGTTGACTTGCCCGCAGATCCGCCGCCCTGGCAACAGTTCCGGGTTTAGGGTTTAGGGTTCAGGGTTTAGGGTTTAGGGTTTAGGGTTTAGGGTTACTCTATGAGCTACTTTAAAGTTTCCTATGAGGGTTCGGGGTTTGGAGATTAGTATTCCATGGTTTACGCTGGTTTTAGGGTTTGGAGTTGCAGTGTTTTGGGTTCACAGGGTTTACCGTCCACAACCCCCGAAGAGCAAAGCACCAATCACTACATGCCTAAACCTCCACACGACCCCCGCACCCATACTCTGAATTGTGTTTGGTTTCTACTTAAAGGTTCATTGGACTTAGTAACTAGAGTTGTAAAGAAGGTAACTACTTTTATAACTACTTATAGCCTCACTTAAAATCCTTATGTTGTTACTTACTAAGTCCCATGAACCTCCAAGCATCCTGAACCGTAAGCCCTAAAAGGCCTAAACCCTAAACCCTAAAACCCTAAACCATGGCCAGGCGTCGGAAATCACCCTCAGTACGAAAGCAGTCGCCCCGGTGTGGTTTTCCGACTTGAGACCGAACTCTCACTCATGGACGATAACGGTACAGCATGTAGGGTTCAGGGTTTAGGGCTGAGGGTTTAGAAGGTTTAGGGTTTAGGATTTGTGGTTCAGGTTTGTGATTGCGGGTTGGGGGGTCCATTTACTTTAGGATTCTGGTCATCATGTTGCTCTGGTTGCTGCCGGTCTTCGTTCAAATCGGTTGCGTTGTTAGAGGCTTCTGTCAACTTTGGGATCTCTTACAAACGAGGTTAAGGGTTTAGTGGCTAATTTCCACGGGAAGTTGCGCGCCTGACCCCCCCTTTCGCCCTGCCAGATCCTAATCGTTGCCAGGAAGCAATCTCCGTCGTCAAAGAAGGCAAAGGCAGCAAGCGCTTAACGTGTACTGCCTTGACTTAGTAGTTCACCGCGAGTGCATGTGCTGAGCATCAGCGCGGAACACCGGAGCTTGCAAGTTCCGTCACCAGCTGCGTAACGAGTCGCCAGCAAGCAGAAAGCGTTGGCTTACTTCATGTCAGTTGAGATGGCTGATGTTCTTTCCCTATCGACACGACAAACGGCAGTTAACAGCAGCACTGCCGTGGTTCTACATCACCCACTTGGGCTGTCCCTGACGGTCATGTTACCGTCTTGACAAGCGAATGTCTTTGCAGTGTGTAAGGCTGGACTGTGACATACTCTGATAGGGTCGATTCAGAGGCACATGTCGTGTCAATGCTTTGCAGCTTCGATCAGCACCTTCATGAGCAATCGCAAAGCATCGCCAAACGGTGGCTGCCGACGAGTTTGGGGCTTAGGGTCCAGGGATCGGGGTTCAGCACTACCTTAAGAGTCCATGTGCCCCTACAATGTAGACTTCGGCCATCAGTGGCCTCAAGGTACCTACACAGGGAGTGTTTTTCACGTCACAGTATCAACTTTATGGGTACATGGACCCTTGGGGCTACAAACCAAGCCATATCTTTTACCCCAAAACATCTTCATTAGGGTCTCACTTTATGAAATCCTTGTAGGATCTGGAACAGTTGGTTTTTCGGGTTAGATGCCAGAGATCTCGAAAGCCCTGAAGAAGAAGTTTAGCAATAGCGCGATAAAGGCTTCTGTAGAGTTCTGGAGCTCTAGGCAAATGTTTCTACCGAAGGCTTATGGTTTTATGTTCTTCTATTGGGGTTTCGGTAGTTCGAAAGACATTATATAGTACGGAACCCCAAGACCCTATTCTAACTACTAAGGCCCCTATACCCTAAAACCCTTATAGTAGCCCTTATTGAACCCTTTTAAAGGAACCCTGACAGTCCCAGGTCCTGCAAGTCTTCCTTGCATGTGGGAGTTGAGGGTGTGGGGTTTGGGCTTTGGGGGTAGCCTGTTCTTCTTGGGCGTTGGCATTTCGGTGCTTCGCTGTTTCTGGAGTTCCCCGGACTACAAGGCTCTGGGAGGTTTGGGGTTTAGGGTTTAGGGTCTAGGGTTTGGGGTTTAGGGCTTTGGGTTTAGGGTTTGGGGTTTGGGGTTTAGGGTTTAGGGATGTAGCATATTAAGGCTGGGGGCAAGTAGTCGCACAGGAAGGGCCCTTTGTTGGAGGCTTCCAGTTAAATGAGTCGCCGGATTCAGGTCACAGGTTGTAGACCGGCAAACTAGAACCCTGGGCGTAGATGGAAACTCCTGCCATCAGGAAGCATTCTTCCAACAGCTCAGTGTATTTCATGAGATGCAGAATTTGACCATCAGAAGAGGAGCAGCCACCAAACCCTTCCATGCTCTTAAACTCTAAATCTCGAAATCCTGGAACCCTGAACCCGTGACTCGTGACCCATCGATTTTACACTTGGGCCCTCGATCAAGTTCTTATCATATGGGATCCCGGTTGAGGTCAACATACATACAACATGGTGGGCGCATGGACCCTTATAGCCAAAACCTCAGACTTCGGTGATATCTTTGCGGAATCCGCGTAGTACTTCTAGAGCACTCATGGTAACACTCTAATGCTTTGTACAGCCCTCTTCCTAGATCCCTTCAGGCACTTAGGATCCTTTAGGCAAATTCAAGCAGAGCTGAAGGTCTGACGTCCCGGAAGCGCAACCGGGACTACTACAGGTGGGCAGAGCGAGCTTCAGGGTGTAATATCGAGTTTAGGATCCAGGTGCCATACATGGGCTTTCGGGCGGGTTAACAATAAAGCACGAATGTCGAAGCCCTCACCCTTCTTCTTCCCCATCTTCCTCTTCAACACAGTGTTCTTTTTCGTTCACGAGTCATGTCAAAAGAGCTGTGCAAGGGTTTTAAACAGGGTCTTATAGACGGTTTCAAATTCAAAGGGGCCGTGAAAAAGGTTATATAACAGGTGCTCGGGCGCCTGATCAAGTAGTCATAGGCACAGGACCATAGGATTTTTGTTAGGAGGGCTATTTTCGGACTTGTAACCCTCACTGCGCTTATCCTACTTACCCACCTTCTTATAGCCTACTATAGCAGCCTGAATAGTTAGTAGCACTATATTCCTTATGCTGTTTTGTTCTTATACTACAACATACCCCCGACACTCTCTTCTATGGTTCTATGTATATAACGTCCCTATATTACGGGCTAAGTCCCGGGCTATCCAGGTTTAAGAACTTGCAGGTTGACATTTGAGAGTTTACCGGTTTAAACTTTAAGGCTCTGGGCTTAAACGGTTTAGGGTTTAGGGGTTTAGGGTAGCATGATGTTGCTGTGCATGGTTAGCGGTTCAATGATCCAGAATTATTTGCGTCAACCCAGCATTGCTTGAACTGTCAGGTTGGACATTATCTAGTGTTGATCCAAAACACTCCCTATTTGGCACAGTTTGGACCCGAGTAATGTAGAAATCTTTATAGTTGCCAATAGTATTCTTGATTAGGGTCCCTTACCATATTAGTCTATAGTAGATTAACGGAGCCCAAAGCCCTATAGTTATTCTGATGATGAAGGCCCTTACATTACACGCCGGCACCTAAGTATTCGAACCAGGGATCTGCAAATTGTTCAGGACTTTCACCTGCGCCTCACCTGCGCGGGTCCACGAGGCAAGTTGTAACTTTTTGCTATGCAGGTTTCAAGACACCCTGGGGCTCAAATAATCCCTAGAGACTTGCCTGATACGAATCAGCAGAGCTTCAAGCCTCGTATTGAAGATCTTGGGGAATCGAGGGCTTTGGTGTCAAAGGGTTTTGAGATACACATGTTACTTATACGGTTCTGTTTTTTGCTTGATTTGGGGTTGAGGGCTCGGCTTGAAGGACTTCCAGAGGGTTGATGCTCAATCTCTGTGGTTGCAACTCGCCGGAAGTGCTGCTCTTTCCGTGTACGTTGCGGCGGAGGGACATCGGAGGAAGTGGGAAGGTAAACTGCAAGCCGTAACCTCAATAATCCAATTGCCCTACTATAGAGGCCGAAATAAGTATACCATGTTGGGGTTCCTTTTCATAGTTGGAGTATAATAATGGGTCCCACAACCCCATTCTAATCAGTATATAAGGCCCCTACATTACCCAAAAGGCAGGGTTTGAGTGCCTTCGGTTTTTGTGAGGTTGGTGGGGTTTTCGCGCTGAAACGACAACTGAGCCAAACAAGGCAACTATACTTACCCTTACCTTCAAAAGACTCATATTTTAAGGCTCTTGGGCCCAAAGACCCTATTATATATATGGCTTTTGGGCTGTTTTGTTGCTAAGGATTATCATTTCTTATAGCCGCAATTAAGGTGCTTATAACTGTGCTTACTAAGTCCCATGAGCCTCCAAGTAGAAACCCTTAGATGTACGCAGAAACCCACAGGCCTTTATTATCCCATGTGAACTTTTCGTAAACGTTCTGAATCTTCACAAACCCTGATAAATCCTCACCGACCATTGTAACCGCCCCTGTACACCCTTATCATCCCTTATCCCTAAGGGTCCAAGTACTCAAATATTAAGTGTTTTGGGTGCCAAACACCAAACACTCTTCGGAGGATTGGTTTGAATCCTAAAACCGACTTTTGGGCACTTGGACCCTCAGCCCTAAACCCGAAACCCAAAAACCCAAAACCCCTTACACGCTTAGAAACCCTTATGACTCCCTCACAGCAGCACTACAGCGGCTCGAAACATTGGTTGCAATGTCGATGCTGCGTCTTCTCGCCGCCTTTTGGCTGAGATTTCTTGGCATTACCCTTCAATGGGTTTAGGGAACCCTAAGCCCTAAACCCTACATAAGGTGTGGGGTTTAGGGTCTAGGCTTTAGGGTCCAGGCCTGTAGGGTTTGGGTTTGGGGTCCGTTGGATTTGTTGGGGCTACCCTAAAGGTTCAGAGGCCCCAACACCCAGACCCCCGGGAGGATCCAAAAAGTAGATCCCTGTAAGGATGTTCCTATACAGTACCCCTAGTAGTTAGGATCCCAAATTAGGGGATCTGCTGTTTGGATCCTTCCGGGGGTTTGGGAAATTGGGGGTTCTAAAGGATTTGAACTCTGAAGTTTCGAGGCCGGGGCGTAGCCTTGTTAGTTTTGGGCTTCTGCCACGTCGCGTTCGGCCCCATCTAAACAATACCCACATGTGCGATTTCACTATAGTTTCGAACATCGTTTGTCTGCTTCCATTGTGTTTTGTCTAGCCCGCGCGGGCTTTTTTAAATGAACTCATCTACGCAGGTGCCATGATAGTGATCTATAGTAAATAGTATGGTTTCGTTATTGTGGTAACTTAGACTAAGTTCTTCAGTGAGAACCCAGGCACAGGTAACCTTAACATCCCAGGAACCCTTATAGAAACCTGGAACGAGCCCTTACGGAAGCCCGAAGCATTACAACCCAAAGCCAAGCCCTAAGCCCTAAACTCTAAACTCCTAAACCCTAAACCCTAGACTCCTAAACCCTAAACTCCTAAACCCTAAACTCCTAAACCCTAAACCCTATAAACCCTGAACCCGGAGCCCTGTGAGCCCTAAACCCTAAACCCTAAACCCCTAAACCCCTAAACCCTAATCCCTATAAGCCCTAAACCCAAAGCCCTGTGAGACCTAAGCCCTAAACCCTAAACCTTAAACTCCTAAACCCTAAACCCTATAAACCCTAAACCCTAACCCTAAATCTGATCAGAAGCTCTATCGCACCCGTCCTCCCAAGCCCTTGAATAAGGCACCGATAACCCCTCAAATCGTCCAATATCCTCTTAACTATAAGAATATACATTAAATTATGGCAGGATCCCGAATATGATTTCGAGGTTTATATTTATTTTCTGGAGAGTGTAAAGAAACATAAAACACAGAGGTAAGGACGTTACAGATCCCGTCATCACGTCTAATGCGAACAGACTTCGATGCCTC